TCACAGCCCCTCGTTTGTTGTCCTCTTCTCTCTCTCTGCCTACGGTTTACCGGGCAGTTCTATTTGTGACGATATATATATATATATATATATCTGTGTGTGTGTGTGTGTGTGTGTGTGTGTGTGTGTGTGTGTATCTATCTATCTATCTATCTACCTACCTATCTATCTATCTATCTATCTATCTATCTATCTATCTATCTATCTATCTATCGGTCTATCTATCTTGAACACACGGACAGACACACATTCTGTTATGCCAGTCCATGCTTTCCTCCCTCATCTCCCAGCCCTGTCTATCGTTGCCTCCCTCACCTCACCACCCCTTGTGCTATCCGTCCATCTCTCCCTGTTGTTAGCATGCATTGGATGTCCTCCTCATCCTTCTTCTCACCCTGTTCCAGTTTTGATCCTTGATCCCTGTTGCTGGAGGAAGCGGTATACTTGTCTCACACTATATTGGCATTCATCTCCTATACTGTCTAATCAATTGCAGTTCCCCTTAGGAACCCCCTCCCCAGTCGGTCTCCGCATTCTTTTTCATCTGGTTCTCCCTCACTATATATGTCTGTAAGGCACAAAGGAAATGCTATCTTTTTTCAGACATGGGCGGTCATCTCGCTGCTCATGGAATATGCAATTCCCTTTCATGAACTGCGGTCTCCACCCTCCTCTCGCTCTTCCAGTCAGGTTCGCCCTCCCTTTTTTTTTTTTTTTTTTTTTTTTTTGGAACCCAAATAACTTGGACCATCTCTGGAATTATGTGTGTCTTGGGGTCATGCTAATCTTCTCTGTCTCATTTTTCAAATTTTGATGCATGTCCCGAACAACAGTTGGGTTCTCCTCCCCTCCCCTCCCCTCCCCTCCCCTCCCCGGGGGGGGTTGGGTTCTGCCTCGCAATATCTAGGTATGGAAAAGGGTCGATGCGGTCTTTGTCTAACACCAAATTGACATTATTCTCTGGCAGTTTAAGTAATTGCAGTTCCCTTTCATGTTGCTTGGGTTCGTGGATGATATCTCTCAGGTAAATTGTGAACCTGTGGTATGGATGAGCCGATGGATGAACCGGTGGATGAACTGATGGATGGATGTAACGGATCGGGTGGGGGTGAAGAGGTCAGCAAAGTTGAGCAAACTATAGGACTTGCGCTAACCATGAGATCCTTCATGGTATGTCTACACAGGTTTGACTATTAGATGAGTGTTGCTTGATCAGACCATCTGGTGGTTGATGAGTGGATGGAGATGGAGAGACAAGCGAAGAATATGACGCAAGGGTGTGGCCATAGAGTGAAAGGGTAATTTCAGCACAGTGGCCAAAGGATGCAGGTTGAGGGAGGGGCCTCGCTCCACGACACGACAATCTATATGGTATAGCTGCTGGGCTTCATGATCGTCCCGACACGTCCAAAATTTCCCAATGTTTGTGTCTTCCTACTGCAACTGGTACACAAAGGCGTCCAAATGCATGTACAATGCTGCGTAGTGGAGCGAGGCCCAATTATATTTTCATACCTCTACTTCCCTGGTGAAGATAATCAATTGCGTTGTCCAGATAGATCCTTGGTAGGAGAGGCGGCTCAAAGATAACGAAGATATGCAAGGCTGTGTGACTCGGACGACCATGTGGGAGAGAGACTGATTGCAAGACCTTATCGTGCTGAGCCGATGCCTTGTAGGCTTGTACCACGTGCATCATCACTGTACTGGACCGCCGACAGAGCTTGTGTACGTTCACGACCGTCGATCGGGGTGCGTTGTGTTCGGATCTATAACAAACAGTGTGGTTTACGGGGAAGAAGGTACGCTCAGCTGACATTGCAAGAGGCAGCCGAGGACTGTCTCCTTCAGAACAGGTCAGTCAAACCATTCTGTGTGTGTTGGATTAGTGGATGGAGAGACAAGCAAGAATCATGATACAAGGGATGCATATCGACCAAAGCATGTACTAGCTTGACAAAGATCTTGGTGTGTGCATCTATCTCCCTTGCAAATATAATCAACCGCGTCGTGCATAAAATTCACTCATTGGGAGGCTCAAAGATTACAAAGGTACCGTTGCAAGACAGGAGAGGGGAGGGGGGGGGGGGGGGGGGGGGGGGGGGGGGGGGGGGGGGGGGGGGGGGGGGAGCAATCTGGAGGCTGATGATCGAGGATCAACGCTGCTTCCGAACAGGCCAATTGACTTTCACCATACTCTGAGGACGGACTGTATCTGCCCCCTCTCTGGAAATGAAGTGAAGTGGTGTCCCGTCCGCTTAGTGTCGATCTCTCGTCGGAGTTTCAGCTTTTTCATCGATGAGCATGCTGTCCGCAACTCTACTCACCTGCCAGAGGGCCTGTGGATGTCCCCCTGCTATAACTTCAATATTGATGAATGAATGTTCCAAAGGAAGTCCACTGAAACGCTATACACGTGTGTGAGTTGTCAGGAGATCGATTGTGATTGTGTTTTCCGTGACCCGTTGGGGAGGTGCTCTGCCCGAAAGAGATCGTGGGTCTTCTGATGATTTGCAGGGCCAAAAGAGATCGTGGGTCGTCTGACGAGTTGGAGGGGCGAAAGAGATCGTGGGTCTTCTGATCGGATGAAAGGAGGAAAGGTACTGAGACGAGAGTGCAGGCGGGAGACAGCCGCAGCAAGAGCACGACGCTAGGGAGGAGCAGGTCATCCACGGAACCATCTTTCAAGCAAACCTTCTTCATACACCATCACATCTCTTCCTTCCATCCCAACATATCAAGTCAGTCCCAGCGCGAAATTGACTAAGCTGGTGGCCGAGGAAAACGGAAACAAGGCCAATCCCTCTACCAGTTTCTGTGGCTCGCCACAGCTCATCAGGAGGTGCTTAACGAGCTTCAGTTCCGTACGAGCTCCATGCCCTCCTTCGGTTCCGTACGAGCTCCGTGCCCTCCTTCTTCTTTTGAGGTAATGGCCATGAAGATGGTAAAGGATCTAAGTGGGAGAGAAGGAGCAGGGGGCAAGAGGAGATACATTGGCTGAGTGGGATTGCCGATGAAAGAATGTGATTGTAATTTGCAATGATGTTTCTGTCTTGCAGACCTACTCTGTGTTTAACGTCGCCATGGAAGCAGAGGACATTTTGTTTCTTCTCCTCCAGGACCTGTCAAACATTGTCAAATGTCTTTTGAAAGTTTGCGATCGGCATTGTAGATTGTTACAGAGCTGCAGTTGTCCTTTTGTAGATTGTTAGCACCGTGACTGAGACCGGTAGCTCATTCATTACCCTTGAGAGAGTGCTGCTTGAGTGAGTTTTGGTCTTGATGCATGTGGCTTTCTGCATCAGTCCTTGTTTGTTCATAACATCAGGACTTTCCAATGTTAGAAGTTCTGCATCAGCACATGAGGAATTTCCAATGTTAGACGCTGTGCATCGCTACACGAGGAATTTCCTTCATCTGGGTTTCGAACACGGGTCTGTATTTCAACAGTTCAGTGGTGTACCCACTGAGCTACACGAGGAATTTCCCAATGTTAGACGTTGTGCATCGGCACATGAGGAATTTCCTATGTTGGAAGAGCGTAGAGTAGGTGGGTCGGCGGAGTAGTTAATCGTTTTTGTTCGTGCCAATTTCGCCGACCATTCCAATCATCACTCACCATCTCTCTTCTTTATCTCCTCGTCTTCCTTGCCCTTATCGTCAGCATTATTCTCGTTATGTCTACAGACGAAGCAGAAGCAGCAGACATGGCATCCCATGCAGACTGTGATGGGTTGACCTTCCACTGCTCCCTTCAAAGAGGGAGAGACGAAGATGGGAGAAAAATGCGGGGAGTGCGATGTCGTACGAGTCTACGAGAAACACTTCGGGAGAGAAGACTTATTTTGTAGATTGTCCAAGTGTCCGCGAGTTACGTTCGAGCGAAATGTTTCTTAATAATTGGTAAGAGGGAAAGCACATGAGTTGTGTGCGACTGCAGCTGCTGCTGCTGTCTCTTGCCCACCTCCACCTCCCCTTCCACCTCCACCTCCCCCTCCCCCTCCCCCTCCACCTCCACCTCCATAGGGTAAGGAACTCGTCTGCACAGTTATGGGCCATGCAGGCTTGAGAAGCACGAACAGTAGAGTCTAGCAGCAGAACTTCGAGAGTCTCTTGCCCACCTCCACCTCCACCTCCAGACTTGTAGATTGCAGCGTTGTGGTCCCCGCCCGTCCATGTGCCTGTTGCTCCTTCAGTACTAGTCAAAAAACTTAAGATCTATGAACAGTGATGGACTACTAGAGGTTTCCAGTGTGTTCATTCTTGAGTCTTTCTCGTTGCGTCCGCTTTAGTTATATTGCCGTGCATCATCTGCCAGAGCCTTTCCCCTCTTCCCAGACAGACCTGGTATCCCAGATTCCAACTCAGCAGGGTTGTCCACTGGAAGCTAAGCCTTGTGTTTGCGTTGCTTTTTAGGGCATTTTTTTGCACTGTTTTTGGACTCAATTGCGGTCGGATACGTCCAGGGCTTGCCATAAACGCGGTGATATGAGTGCGCCTTCGGTTGATAGGCGCAGTTGCCAAGCGCCAGCTTTTCAAATATTGGAAGTTGAGACTGTCAGATGGACATCCTCCTGAGCACCAATTTTCAGGGCATACTCACACTAGGGACTCTTTCGCGTGTTTTTGGACTTAATTGTGGTCAGATACGTCCAGGGCTGGCCATAAATGCGGTGATATGAGTGCGCCTTCAGTTGATAGGGGCAATTGTTAACTGGAGGGGATGGTGAAGAGATAGAGAGAGAGAGAGAGAACTCTAGGTGGTAGAGAGGTGTAACTAGCGGGCGGGGCGCAGAAAGCCGTTTATCGTGATCAATCATTCTTTTTTCAGATTAGCATAATGGTAAGTATAAGAGAGGCATGCCTGTCAGCTGTGATCATCAGCTGAATAGGAGATGGCCCTTGAGTGTTTAGATTTCTCTGTACAGCAGGCAGAATGTGCAGCGCTCTCATTTCCTTAGAGACTAAGGATGAGCCAACTATTACCTCTGCCATCTTCCGCAGTCAAGCCACAGTGCCCTCGATGCAAGCGGAGTGAATGCTTGCAGCTTACCTTCCTTTTTTTTTCCCTGCCAACTTTATTTTTCGGCAATCATGATGAATGGATGTTTTCCCTGTCAGTGGCACAAGACATGATCACCATCCACCTCATCTCTGTTCATTATGTACATCAGTTAAAAAGCGAATGTGTGGTCCGGCTTTTTCACTTCCGATGTGTGAAGAGCTCATCAACAATGATACTTCCTTCCATTCTCATTTTTGCATCTCTCTCTCTCTCTCTCTCTCTCTCTCTCTCTCTCTCTCTCTCTCTCTCTCTCTCTCTCTCTCTCTCTCTCTCTCTCTCTCTCTC